CACAATATCCTGTGTCCACTCTCAAAGGCATCATATTATTTGGATTATTATTAGTACTTTCTTTCGAAAAAACAGTTGAGTGCACTTATTAACAATTAGACTGGGCTGTACAATTTTAGCATCTGGGTATATATTAGTGTAGCATGATAGTAGTCACTTCATGTTACTAAGTTAGTGTGCCTGCAATGTATTATGTAAAATAGTACATTACATTTATGGATCATTTTGTTATACAGACACAGCAGAATTTACTGTAAGGAGTCTCTACTCACACACACACACACACACACACACACACACGTCGGGTATACCTATCCTTATGGGGCCCGCCCATTCATTTCTATTGAAAAAATGCTAACGCTGACTATAGAAATAGAGTTTTCCCTTATGGGGACCAGGAAACCGGGCCCCATAAGGGAAAAAAAATGGATATTTATCATGTTATGGGGACATTGTGTCCTCATAAGGATAGGTATAACCACTCGCACACACACACACACACATATTTTTTTCTTTTTATGGAATAACTACAGTAGCTAGGATATAGGATATTGATTGCTGATTTATGTATGTTCGGAAGACAATAAAAATGGCTTTTCTATTTAAAATGACAAACTTTTTAACGTGTCAGGAATGTGCAAGGGAGGGGTTTTGGCTGCATGACTCATTTTGGCTCACAAGGGGTAATCCCTGTTTACCATTTGCAGTCAGATATGACAACAGATGTGTCCCATTATAAAGAACTGAAATTCAGAAGGAAGCACTATGAGAGGGATTGAATAGCATCAGCCATTTGCTTCTGTGTCACACCCTGGTTCCCTGGTACCATGATGGAAGATGGATGGATGGATGGATGGTGAAGGAGCAAGATTGTTATCTGTTTGTTGTGTAGATATTAAATATTGGGGGGGGGGGCACGTCCCCCCATGAATGGATGGATAGATGGATGGATGGATGGATTACATCCTAGGCTTGTTCAAGGACTTGTCAAGTCATTTGCAGGCACAGATGCTTGCATCTTAGTATTTATATATTTTGATTGAGGTTTTATATTACAAAATATCCTCCAGGTATCTCCTTACAGGTGACATCACACTACACCAATGCTGACTGGATTCAGTTGACATAAATGAGGATGACAGTTTTAATATTATGTCAACACTGCAAGACTATGTTATATTAACCAGCAAAGTGTTGTCTATCTATGGGATTTTCAAAACTGGTACAATTGAAATAACTGAATGCTTGACATTGTATAGGAACAAAGTGACAATAAAGCTTATTTATTAATCGGTTGATGCTACCTCGTTTAGTTTCATTGTTAACCTACTGATAGTAGATGGTTTGGCTGCAATACAGACTTGTGTTAGCTATGTTTCTTTATAATCACCTCAATGTAAGCAAAAAAAAAATTACTAAAGGATCATAGCTACAACAACCTAAGCTGGTACATCTGCAGATTATTGCAGCTTCAAATCATTTTTGTCCCACAGCAAATTTAACCTGACAAAACACATAAATCAAAGATGACACAATCACGTAAAAAGCATATTTTGCAAAAGTTCCTTCATAAGAAGAGAGAACTTTGGAATCTCAGACTTTCATAGTCATACTAAAAAACTCAAATAACATGAGCACTGATTTTTTTTAAATACTTTTCTGCGTGCTGTCATGAATGTTTACAGGGAATATATTAATATCAGTTGTTTAATAGCAGTCATTTGGTGTGAAGAAATGTTCTTTCAGTTTACAAGCAAAATTTAATGAACACTAATATTTTAGTTATGATTTAATTGCTCCTGTTGTGTAAATAAAGGGTTCAAGGTTCCTATCATTTTGTTTAATTACAACAATATAATGTGATCTCAATGTTATAGCATGCACTTATCTAATATGAAAAATGTTCAATGACTGTTTTTGGTCATAACACGTACTGTAATTATTATTGCAACCTGAGCTTTCATTTAATCTATCATGCAGATGCCTGATTGATAAATCAAATCGTTGGATAGGTTTTGTCAGGTCTCTTAGTCTTTGTTCAAAATGACATTCAAATGTGGCACAGAAAGAAACATACAACTTATTTATTAATTCAGATTATACGAGTGCTACCAACTAACCAGTTAACACTATTCCCCATAGTTTCATGGGAATAGACATAATAATGAATACAGTAGAACCCCCGAGCTCGTCGCCTTCTGAACTCGCCATATTCAGTCTTCGTCACGAAATGACGAGAAAATTTTGAGTCGGAGTTCGTCGGGAAATTTAGAGTTCGTCCTGAAAAACCGCGTGATCTCCTTTGTAAACAAAAGTTTACGGTCAGTTGGCATCAGTCTTGCGCGTCGTTCACACGTTGCTCTGAGAAACGCCAACATTAGACAACATTAGACAGATTTTCTTATAGAGAAGAAAGCCAGCCAGGTCCTAGTGAAAAAAAGACAAAGAAGGGACCCAACTCCAGAAAACCAGCTACCAATTGTTATTGTGGAAGGGGATTCCCCTTCAAAACAATGTCTCTCTCTCTCTCCAACCTCCTCTCCACAACCATGTCCACAGATCCAGATCAGCCCAGTCCTAGGGAACCTACATTTTTGCTCCCTCCCAGCTCCCTGACAGACTGTACAGTACTGTACAGTAATTGTTAAAAACCAATTTTATTAATTTTTAATGTTGTGTATTTTACTTAAATTATGTTATTTAACTCTGAACTTATTTTATTGTAATATCAGTGTAAATTTTTTGTATAAAAAGGCAAGGTTAGGGAGATCAAAAACGGATTAATCTGATTTCTGTTATTTCTTATCGGAAAAATGATTCGGTGTTCACCGGATTCGCATATAGTCACTCCTTCTGGAACGAATTACCGTCAAACTCTGGGGTTCTACTCTACTCTAATTAATCCAAATTTGAAGAAATTACAGGGCCCAACTCCGATCCCTGCTAGAGACCTGTAAGCCTACTGCTGTTACGGGCCGTGTTCAACAAACAGAATTGAAACTGAAGAGACTCACAAACCTTGTTAAGGGTCTTTGGTTTTTTGCTATTGAAAAAGACTGGAAAACAAGACCAAAATCATGGGTGGTGCATTTTTCAGTTGAGGCAAATCCTGCCTCTGCTGCATGTGTGTCATCTCCATGCTCCCCCTTGAGTTGTGCAGTCTAAAGTCTAAAGACATTCCCTTAGGGAAACTGGTAAGTGACTGGAAGATGCATGAATCTGACCCATGCAACCCAGCAACTCCAAGTTTTTCTCCTAGAATAACTTTGACAAAACACAAGCCAAAAGCCATAGGGAATATTTTGGAGCCAATGGTCTTTGTTATAATGTACTGGAAGCTAAATTGACTATGAAGTGGATGATTTGCTTAAGTCTGCTCTGTGTGCAACACCTGAAACTGCATTCAAGTGCGCATTGTGACATCATAAACCCCAGGTGTTATGTGTCATACTTCTGCACACACTCTGAAGCAGTGGGAAAGACAGAAACCTACTGAACATTACTGCAGTGCAGCTGGGAGTACTGACACAGAAAATGTTATGCAAAAAGGAGAACATTATCATAGGAAGCAATGATATCAATCTCTAACTGATTTGAATGAGTACAGGTGCAAGATCCAAGCCAGGTATGTGGTAAGAAAGCCTGCATTAAACAACCACACAGAGAAGATGGGCAGGTAGACAAGCCTCCTTTGATCACAATCCAGTTCAGCAGACCCCATATCAATGCAATAACCTGGATTTTGAAAAGGGTCAAACCAGAAGTTCTCATGAGTTATACATAGAGTTTGCATAAAAATAGCTAGTTTTTCAGTCTACAGTGCTTCATCTGCCATACATAGACAAGGAGGGGTTGAGGCATCAGAAAGTCTGGGCAGAAGGTAGTGTTTTCCTCTGCTCAGACTCTGAATACATTTCATATTTGAATCAATTTAATCCTGAGCATTGATTCTGGCTGTCGAACATCCTAGATAAAAAGAGTTGCCCTACCGCTAACTTTTGTGTTGGTATGTTTTGCTTCTGGTGGGTTGCTTCAGACTGGGATACGCCATAATTTATTTATTGGTTTTTGCTGATGAGGCTAAAAAAATTACACTGCACAATATTTGTTACTTTTTTTCCTGCTCTGCCACGATAACCCCATAATTCTTTCTTTCATGGACAGAAACCCGGCTCCCAGCAGTCATGACGTCCTCATGAAAATAGGAAGCCAGCCGCTGATCACCTCCCAACTGTAAAGAACTGATTAGCATACAGACCAATTTTCTACTCTCCATTATTCATTTTTTTTCTCTTCTATTATTTTCCAAGAATTTACTTCACTGCCTTTTGCGGGAGTCAGGAAATAATTTTCATTTTTTCCCTCTAAAAAAGGTTTCCTATCCAGTGTTTTGTGGCAATTGAGAAATAAGTGGGGAGCAAAAAAGTGGAAAAAAACCTTTAGAGTACAAAAGATCCGTTGAGCATGCCTGCTTTTTTTTCTCTCTCTCTCTCTCCCCTTTTTTTTTTTTTTTAAAAAAAAAAGCTTGAAACATCCACCACTTTTGGAATATACGAATCTCGTTGAAAGAGCAAGAAGACACATTTCACAGCGGCAAGGTTAAGTTACAACAGTTTAAGCCTTTTCAGAGCACCGCAGTAATTTTATGTTCCATTGAACTTTCGGCCCAACAATATTCCAACAATAATGGATAATTATATGTAGGAGCTCCGTCATATATTCATATGCATTATAGGTTTATACATATCTCCTTTAACCTATCACTTCCTTTATAAATTAACCGAACCTAAATTAATCCTTTCTCTGGTTTGCAAAGGTAATGTGATGTGTTGTAAAATAAATGTTTAGTATAGTAATTAATCATTCAGGCTTAAATGCTAGACCTACTAAATGGGTAAAAATCGTTAACCCATAGTTACTGATTTGTACCAATAGTTACTGTCACGCCGCGCGGGCGACTTCAGCAGCTGTCGCCATGGCTACGGAAGCCGGAAGTTGGCTCCTTTTATACACTGCGGTAAAAATGGCTGGCTTGTTAGGGGGATAGATTCAGATACAGCAACAGACACACATCGTCACATTGTGCTTTATGAAATAAACTCTTGAACAAATGTGCACGGTTCTTTCCCTCCGCGTGATTAGCGATTTTACCAAATCGCAATAGGTTTCCAAATACGAAGTCAAACGGAGCATTATGTAAGTAGAATCATTTTTATTTCGGAGACATAAAGGAGAGTAGCAGACGAATGGTAGTGATGACAGTAGCTGTATGAGTCCCTTTCTCGATTTATATGCTTCAGGCTATCGTTCCTCACTTTTTTTTTTTAAATCGTAACTAATTTGTTTACGTAATAGTTAACAGTTCTGTCCAGTTAGATATCTGCATGCTTCAAGCTTAAGTAGACAGCTGTACTACAGACATTTTCTGATGCACGAATGGCGTTTTATGGCCTGAAGCTGACCAGCATGCTGCCCTGAGGTCCGTGGCGATGAAACTGGCACATTTCCTCCCATTTGCGTGGGTCTCTACTGCTTTCTTCCCACAGACCCAAAACGTGTAGTTGGATGACTTACTGCTTAATGTGTGAATGTGCCCTGGTGTCTTGTCTGTGGTGAACCAGTCTTATGTTTTCTGAAACAGAAAGGAGTTAAGAAATTTCAGCTGATGGACACTAGAGACAATAATATATTTCAACTGAATACTAAAAACTTTACACTTGTGATGTTGTTACTTGAAGTCTAATTGTCAAGTCTTAATAACAGAAACTTGTGTTGTAAGCTTGTAAATATGGTTATTTCAAACTCACTGTGACTAATTAAAATACAGTCAGGATATGATGCATTCTAGGGATTGTCAGATTTGTTCAGTAGTTATCCAAGTTATGCATATTGTGAATATAAATTTACATCAAAGAATGTAATTATTTGACCATACATTTCTCATTTCTGTTTCCGCTATTGATTCCATGGCCTACAAGTCTTTGCAAAATAAATTTAAGAAAATGATAATGATTAGAGAAAAAAAAAATGTCATTTTCTTCATGGTTTAGCACATTGTTTGAAAATGCATTAGTCTGTTGCCTTGAGATTAGGTTTATAGGACTGGAGACTTGAGATGAGATTTGCCGTTAATGACTTGCAAATGACTTTCATCTTGGGTCAAGCAGCTTGATGATGCCAATCAAAAACAAGGTAAACATGGTAATGTTATTACAGGAAAAAAATAACTAAATCCGTATCCACAGAGAAACGCAAACAAAACAAGGTGCTTCTGATGATTGGTGAGCAACCTCCTCTCCAAAAAGGATACTGATTAAGTGAAGAACAAATTAAATTGTTTAACATCTACAGCAATGTTATATGTTAATAAAGCAATCCACATGCAATTTATTTAAACCTAATTTTCTATTTTTAATTGTGTTTACCAGGTATTAAGCATGACTGCCAGTGCTGTAGCTTGCACGGTGAAATCACCAGTGGCTCTGCAAATTGGGGATGTGCAGTCAGACACGTCGCGTCCTGGAGTCTATGTCATTGACGTCACATTTCCTCAAGGTCAAGTGGTAAAAGTGAGTCATTCTAAAATGACAAAAATTAAGTGTAGAAAGTACCAAAAGTACAATTACATCTATAGTGCCCTGCAGTCTGAAGAAAATGAGCAGACAGTGGGAACTGCATGGTCTTCATAAACCCTGAAAGGGAGAAGCTGAAGAGGAGGAGCTGGACTTCAGAATCCTGAGTGCTTCACTTTTGTTTCAATGTCGAGAGTGCAGTAATGCTGTATCTAAGCGCCTTGCAGACAAGGATCTTTGGCGTTTTTCTGTTCTTGCAGATTCGGGATGTCTCCTTTAAGAACTACTATACGGGTTTCCTGACAGTCCGGCTGCAGATGAAAGGGTCTGCCTGCCAGGAAGGAAGTGTTAAATGGGTCACCTGTCTCAGAAACCACCGCCTTATGCCCAATCCACATACAGAAGAAGGATCCCAGGACTACTTCTCTGTGTACGGACATCAGGTCAGGGCAATGTGCAGCACCTCTGTTTCTTCTGTCCCTTTAGATATCAGGTCATCCAATTACTGCCTTTTACAAAATACACCATAAGAATCATGTTGTCATCATTACTCCATATGACAAGAAAACAGTGTTCTTGAGTTAAGTTAGTATCCTTATAAAATCTGAACATATAGGTCTGCACTAACCATATATGGAAACTTTTAAGTTGTCTTACATGATGTGCTCACACCCTTAAACTGAAAGACCTATTTGAGAGAAATAAATCAAGTTTGAGAATTTGGGTTGTATGTCAGTGATGAAGTATTTCTGTCTTTTTTGAAGGATATTTGTGAGGATCCTTGTAGTAAAGATGAAGTGGATTAAATGAAGAGATATCACAAAGAGTAGTCCTTCATGGTGCGCAGCAATCACGTACTGCAAAAGGGAAGAGAGATCAGGAGAAGTGGTGTGAACAGATGCACATTGCATACATAACAAACAGATTTAAAGTATTTGACTAACATATTTTTATTTTTCTGTTTAACCAAATAGAACTTCATGTTGCGAATTGGTTATGAGAAATGGTCTACTCTGGAAGCAGTTTTCTTTCTCCCACTGATCCAATTTTGGTACATTCCCGAATGAAACACTTGTTCTTGATGATGATGATAATAATAATAATAATAATAATAACTAGAAGAGTATACAGAGCATGTGTTCTCAGGAGTTTACCTGCATTTAATGCGATGGTGACAGTGTTCAACAATGCAGTCTAGGATTATCAGTCATTCTTCTCTTCATTGTGCTCATTGTTGTCTTCAGCACCAGCATTACAAGCTCTCCAATAAAGAGTGAAGGAGATTGGCGTTAAACACTCGTAGGCTGCTGTGCAGTAAACACTGAGGCCACCAGGTTTAGGGTCTGAACTAATTAGCTGCCAGCATCCGAAATTCTGAAAGCTGCTGAAATATTGCCAGAAGCCACACAGCTAGATAATATGCAGCTTGTCTGTTTCCATATTTTGTAGTAACAGAAGACCACCATGAGCATGCAGACCATTGAGTCCTGAGATGGATGACTGAGAGGATGGGTCTGATCCAAACAATAAATGCTCTCCTTTCACATACAAATGATTGCACTAGAACAGACATAATTTGATATTACCTTTTCAAGGAGGAGTGCTTTTTAAAGCATTCTTGTAAATTATTAGGTCATTCTCCAGTCATATCCAGCTTTGGCATATGACTGGTCTTTTTAGGTTTTTTGTTATTTTTTGTTGTGTTTGGCAAATGAATTTGTGGATTTTATGTATGGCATTAAGATGAGTGTTTGATAACCCAGTAACATATAGTGTGAAAATACAATGGCTCATTGGAGTACACTTGAATTTAAATGTTTTTGAAAAGTTTACCAAAAAATCTAAATAATAAAATAATAACATATAGATAGTTTCTTTTGACCCACCTTTATAAGATAGTGCTTTAGAACTCATTCACAAACAGGCTTGTATTATATGCCAATAGAGACATAATGTACATTCATCAGTCATGAATATTTTGCATCAGCAGTTGGTTGCCATTTGTCATTTTTTTAACAAGAAAACCATGCAGGGTAGGACAGCCAAGGACGACACCTTTGGCAGAGGACAGAAATTTGTTTTTTTGGTGCCCATGTTTTATTGGCCACCAATGAGTTCATGAGACTGATGATTAAAGATATTTTTGCGTCATTAATTTTGGTTTTACTCAGTAGCCAGTGTTGCCACTCCCAAAAATGTACTTTATCCAAAAATGAACCTCGCAGAACAAACTTTCCTGGATTAAATGTGGTTTGGGGCAAATATATATTTTATACTTATTTGAACTTTTTTTTATTCAAAACTGTGTTTTCTAATATTGTATAATGGCAGGGTTATTTTTCCTGTACCATTGCTGGGTTTTCACAGCTAGCATGATAAAACAAGCAGCTTTGTTTCTATGGCTGGAGAAGCTACTCTGCCTGCCAAGTGCTTTTGTTCATGCAGCTTTGTCAACAACAGGCTAAAATAAACAGATGCGTGAAAATGTTAATTCCTGAGAATTTTACTGTTGAGTTCTGGTATGACAGAATCTTGAAGGAGAAATTTACACATAATTGGTATTAGGATGATAAATATGTAATGTTTTTAAACAAATATGAAGGCTCCAGCTTTTTTAACCACAACGGAAGAATCAGTCACTTTGAATTAGTCACTTGCATGAAGCTCATCTCAAGCAATTGGGTTGATTTGTAACATAGACAATGTACTAAATGTAAAAACTGTACTTTTTTCTGTTATTCTGAATGTTGTATTTTGAATTTAAAAACATCTAGGCACTTTGTTTATTTTAGGGGATTGTATTAAATGATTTCATTGTTATAAATATGTGCATGTTACATGAAAGCATTGTGATGTAGCTACTCCAGGGTGATACTCCTTTCGACCGGCCTTAATGTAACCCTGTACACATGTGTGTGTCTGCTAGATGCTGGTGGAGCCAGACAACGTGACGGCAGTACGTCTCATTCTCCGGCAGCCGTCTTCGTCTTGGCTGAATTTCACTCTGGAGGAAATCAAAATTCACCAGTGTGTAAATGACGTATGTTAACATATCCCTATTGTCCCCTTTGTGTGTTTTCTTTTTGGATATATGTAGAAGTATGACATTTACAGAGGTATGCTTGAGAAATCCCTATGGCGCAGTTTTAGTGAGGAATGAGCTTTTGAAGTTTGCACAGGAATTTATTCTGTGGCAGTTATGAATTTTACTTCGACCCATTAAATTTGGTTTATACGCTTTTAAAAATTAGATGATTTTTGTGTTTTTCCACCCAACCTGCATGACACTGTATAGTTACGCTTTACAAACTCACTTAAGTTGATTTTCTTGACCTATAACAGATATTACTCTTATTTAAATGCATTTTCGCCATTACATATCACTTCAATGTCTTTTCTTAAGGTTAAATAATTAACAATGTTAAGTCCATGGACTGCCTGTGTAGCTCTGTATTTGTATTGGTTACTATACATATGAATTGTTTGCTTGCATCGTTTTCACTTAATGAATTAAGAAACAGACTTCCTACTATGATTAACAATATGATGCATTTATTTAGTTTGAAGCAGACAATCAGTACTTTAGAGCTAATAATCTCACATTACTGAAAATAATATTCCGTGTGCCTGATCTGGATGAGATCACATTTCATAAATGTTCATTGAATAAATTATTGTGTTGCTCGCCAGGATTCAGAAAGGGAAGTTCCTGTTTGGTTTTCTGAACTGACACCAGTCGACCAGGTCCCTGATTTACAGGTGAGATTTTCAGACTAGTTTAGTTCTTATTCTTGTCATGTACCTGCCAATAGAAAAACGCATATTCTTTTAAAGGAAGAAGCTTTAGTAACAAGTTCACAAGTAATGGATTTTATTTATAGTGAGTCCCTAAGTCTACCTGGAAAATCTCTGACACATGGTTATTAGAGAAAGAGTTGGGGAAAATGGATGTAGGGATGAAACTGCTGGTTTGACACATACACACACACGCACACACACACACACGTGTGTGTGTGTATATATATATATGTGTGTGTGTGTGTGTGTGTGTGTGTGTATATATATATATATATATATATACACACACACTCATTAATGATTTACATGAACTGCACCTTCATAATGCCTTGATAATGCATTCATAGAACATAATACTGTTATGCAATTATAATGGTTGTTATTATTGTACAGTGTTTAATATAAATGTATATTAAAGCCTTTACATGAATGTTTTATGAAGGTGCCTGTTATGTAAAGTGATGCCAAATAACCTATATTGACAGTATTGCATGTACTGGTATGTATGGGATAAGCTGTTTGATTATATATAATCTGATTACGCAAGGCTCAGTATTAAGACTTCGAAAAAATTCTAAATTAACGACGAGTAAAAGACAAAGGATGAAAATGTGGTATTTTAGATGACACATGTAGGCATGATATTGGAGAAAACACCTTCTGATTAAGATATTTACAGGTTGTAGTAATACAATAATATCCCTTTGAATAAAAGTATTTAGTGACTTATTCACTAAATACTGGCTGATTCATGATTAGATTTTCAGGGCTTGTGTTTTTCTGCAGTTTTTGAAATCAATCTGCATGTAAACTTTGTCATCGGTACATTAATATGACAAGAAATATATGGTCTGATGTAAGGGATATATGTATTTTGCATATATTTTACATAGTTTACATATATTTCATGTACTTTGCTATGCGTCAAATTGTACTGGGCTATACCAGCTGTTTGTCTCATGGTGATTAATTATGTTTTGGTTCAGGACATTTTTTGGTAATTCAAGAAGAGTGCTTTTTTAACAAATCACTTCAGGAAATTAACTACTTGCTGTTTGCATATTGAGTTGACATAAATGTAAAAGTGCATTATGGAGAACATATCCTTCCTAGTTCTCTGTTGGTCTTTTGGTCTTCTTTACAGTTTTTGGTTAATGTTTATTTATTCCTTTTTCCTGAGATGAAAAAAAAATACTGGCTGGTTTTGTCTGGTGAGTCAATTGTGTATCTGCATTACCTGTTCCAGCCTGAAGGAACACAAACAAAAAATTTCACAACACAAGCATGTACTTTGTTCAAATGGTACTTTTAAAGTATTGCACCCTGAAAGAACACACAACAAGAACACCAATTTTTAACGGTGGCAAAGTAAATTGAACACACCACAACAACGACAGTTTTACACTGTGACCATCGGTAGAAACGCACCACAAGAACAGCTTTTCAAAAGTGTGGCAACAAGAATGAATACGCCAGAAAACAGCAATTTTAATCTGTGACACCCTCAAGGAACCATCCACACAAACAGCAATTTATAACATGATACCCTGAATGAACACACCACAATAGAAAAGGGACAGTCTCTGAACAAACACACCTTATAAACAGTGATTTAAAATGTCATGTATGTACACAACACACGAACAGCAGTTTAAAGAGGAATACATGATAGTAATTCATCTTATTTTCCATACAATTATAGTGCTACTTGTAAAATCAGTTGGTCCCTATTTCACTAATTATGTTCATTTAGAAAAAGAAAAAAAAAAGAAATATATATATATATATATATATATATATATATAATGCCTGGAGAGAAGAACAGGAGGCTGAATTGAAGCATTTCTGATGATCATAAGGGCAGCTTAATTAGTTTCAAACTGACAGGAGCAAATAAGTTTCACATAGATAAACCACTGGTGCGGATCTCTCACTTTTCCATCCTCTACATGCATATGATGAATTAGATTTTACCAAATGTGGTCATTATCGCTGATTGTGATCTGCTACACAGTCATGTGTCCTCAGTGGAATGAATGTTCCTTGTGGGCAAGCTGACATATAGCAAATTCATTTGTGTTGCTGACTTATCATACAGATTTTTCTTCCCTGTGGCAATGGATTATATCTGATCTCTTTAAGGTTTTCTTTTTTTTTTTTTAACTAATAATTATCAGTTGCAGTTACACACACAGTCCTCATATTTATGTTTGTGGGAACGTTCCATTCAATTCTATGGGCATAACCCTAATGTCAGCAATAACGACCTTAACCCCTACCCGCCCTAACCTTAACCGTAAGTAACCAAACAAAATACAACACATTTGGCATTTGCAGTTTTTTGATTGCAGTCACAATTTTTCCCCTTTTGGGAACCAAATAGGTGGGTCTCCACTACGTACCTGCCGAGGTAACATTTCCCTTGGATCCAAGGAAACACAGAAATAACTAACAATGTTTTCTTCATTGGAAACATTACATCATTATAATGCATCATGAACCATGTTTGGTTTTTCATTTTCTGTTGCCTTATGTAGCACATATTTATCATGTTGTTGAATCATTGAAATTCTGTTATGTAATGCTAATTTATTAATTTATCAGCAATTCTTAAATTTTTATTTAGTTTCTGATTTACATTTCCAGTTCAGAAAGGTTGGACTACGGTACAGATGAAGGCCTCCCCAGCCCAAAAAAAAAAAAAAGTTGTATGATTCTCTACTGCCCTCTAGTGATCAAAGCAATTTGTTCTTGAATATTTGGTATGTATGCTGTATATACATAGTGTTTTTTATGTTGGTGAATTCCTCTGTTTTTTAGGGACTGCCTGACCCGCAAGCAGTGGCATCCAGCATCCAGCAGATGTGGGCGTTAACAGAGGTCATGCAAACCAGTCAGACTGCGGTGCCAATTGGTCGTTTTGATGTGAGTTAAATTTTTTTTTAATGAAATCATAACAGCGGCCATTAGATATATTTTATTCACTCGTTACACTACACAAAATATAAATTAAATTATGCATTGTCATTGTACTTCAAATGATGGCACACTATTTTCTTGAAAATCCTGAATAAAACCTGTAATATACATTAGGAACCGATAAATGTTGGTAATTATATGCACCTTCTGTCATTGTACAGAATAACTTAAAAAAGTTATTTTTTGACAGGTGGATGGTTGCTACGATGTCAATTTGCTGTCATACACATAGCCTGGATTTATTTGGACGATATAATGTGTCATGTTCGGCACGTTTGTGTACATTTCTGAAAAACTAAAAACATCTGTACACAAAGTCAAATGAAATACTTGCCCTCTCCTATTATCGGACTGGTATCATACTGAATAACTGTATCCTTAAATCAATTATGATGTGTCCTACCTAAAATGTTATTTCCATTTTCACTTTTACAGTTTTGCAGTCTGTGCAGTCTCCTTGTGATATTACACGTCCATGAAAAAAATAGCAGCCAAATAGTTTGTTAAAACTGTTACTGGATGGTGGCAAATACAAAAATTAAATTGTTTATGATAAGCAGCAGTACATACAAGCATAACGCAGATACACAGTCTTTTCTGAAATGATTATACCAGATGCCCTTGTACTTAGCTTTGACATAAAGTTGAACTATTTATTATTTCCTGAATTCAAAGGGGGATACTTTTATGGATTAATTTCAGAAATTGAAGATAGTGGATGAGTCATACTTGAACCTTGATAAGAATCTGAGGAAAGACTTAACAGCAGCTGTTTATAGGTATTCCCCAAGCGTCTTGAAGAGTCTGATTTCTGGCTTGAGAAATACAACAACAAAAAATGCAAAAAATACAACAAGCAAACAATATTGGAAGACTCCTCCAGAACATTCCCAGAAATTGTTTAGTTTTTTGGTTTGTTGGCTCCATCTGTCCGTCCTTCTGTCCATCCTTTCATGTCTACTTAAAGGTGTTAGTTTGACTCAAAGTAATTTATTTTGAATACCTTTTAGATAAGTTGGAATTTTCCAATCTAGCGATATTAAGAATGCTAAACAGTGCAACATTTACAAACAGAAAATACTGTGATTACACTTATAGAAACTATGAAATATATAACTATATATAACTATGAAATGGAAATTCACCTTCAACACAACATAATCTCTAATACAGCATTAAAATATTCAGGTCAAATTAAAGTATTTTCAAGCCTAAATAGCTAATTTTGTTATTTTTATCTGTAATTTTTCCAATATTTCAAAGAAAATACCTTAGAATAAAGATACTCCAAATAACCGTAAACAGAGAGCAGAATGTCGTGAACAGACTAACAATAGGTAGCATTTCATTTTTTTTAGTATCCTCTACCTAGCATATCTTCAGTTTATTGATTTTATTCTTTTTTGGTCAGGGTGGCACAGTGGTTCAGTGTTTAGCACTGCAGACTCACACCTCCTGTGGTTTTGAGTACTGCTATAATGCAGTTTGTGAAGTGTGAAGTTTGCATGTTCTCCTTGTCTTTGCTTGGGTTTCCTCCAGGTATTCCTGTTCTCTTCCAACATGACTTCTGAATGTGCCCTGCCAAGGTCTGACTTCCCATCTATGGTGCCTCCTATCCTCTGTCTCTAACATTATTTATTCCATAACATGTATGGCATAGACTCCCACCAAAGGAGGTTCTGGTGAACTTACGCTATATTTAATGATGAAACCAATGAAACTGATCTTGGCCTTTAATTAAGAAACAAACTCACGCTGACATATGCATAAAGATATATTTCTTTATTGTGTAAAGATGCTAATTTTTTAAATGTTTTTTTTCACCAGTTTGTTGGCTGCTTTATCATGAATTTATATGTTTGACAGGCAAATAGGACAAATACACAGCTGTATGAACATTTATCGTATGTGTGTCATGCCTATTTTTAGAATGGACGAGGGTTCGAGGAATGACAAACCCATCTAGTAATCTGTAGTTTATTGAGAACTATTTAAACTAAGTATTTTCTTTGTGTGAAGGGGAGAATTTGTGCCACTGATTGTACGTAGACAGCGGGACCTGAATTTGCTATGGATCTCCTACCTGTGAGACAACAAGGGAGCCAAGTAAAATGGTCCCATTCCATCCTCCATTCTGTGTGTCTTATGGATCCGTTTGCTGTAATGGAGAATCGAGGTTTTAACACCATCCATTTTCCAACTGCTTGTCCAATGGTTGCATGGTTAAGCCATTAATATAATATATATATATATATATATATATATATATATATATATATATATATATATATNATATATATATATATATATATATATATATATATATTAGTTTCACAAAGTGCACTAAGTGTAATACTAATACATGAATCAATCCTTTGCAAGTATGAAATTGAATAAAACATGATTATTACCTCAAAAATACATTAAATGTTTTTGCTTGCTTTAAACTCATCGTGTGCTCTTTAATCAGTTGTAAGACTGGTGCTGGGGTGTACATACTGTAACTGGGTGGTGTGGGGCTCAGTGGATTAGGGGCCGTGCCTGTGATCAGAAAGATGCCAGTTCAAATTACAGGGCTGGCAAAGTGATTTGCCCATTGGGTCCCTAAGTGGCCCTTAAGCCCCAGTTGTTCTAGTGACTGTCTGACTGCTTTCTCAACAAGAAAAAAGAAAAGTACACTACATTGAATAAGGTGTTTGCTAAATTAATTAAGTGTCTAATTAATTAAGGACTGGATCAAAAAAAGAAATGGGTTTTATTTTCTGAGGCAGATTTGATAACTAATACAATGCTTCTGAGTTATGTGGAGATATAAATGATGAAAAGTGACAGTGAAATAATTTTAGTGTCTATCCAGTATTTGGCCAAAGGTTACTGGATCACAACGGGGGACCCTGATATATTCCATACAGGTCGTCCACTGGCAGGATCGTGACCACCAATGAGACCTGCTGATCCTGCTGACTTGTGACCTTTATGCTTCTCTGTGAGCAAACAGACAAGCAAAACAGAAATAGCAGCTTACGTGTGTGATACAAAATAAGACTGACTTCTAGTGAACTGTGAGCTGCAGCAGCAGAGAGGAAGGAAACTGAGTAAATCTCTTCTCAAGTTATCAAAGACAAATGCCTACATATAAAGTTACGTGGAGCTTGCAAGATATGCAAAATTGCAACAAATTCAGAATAAAACTCATATATGCACATTTCACTTACAAAAACACAAGTGCAACACTGGATAAATTAAAATGATAATAAGCCTAAAACAAGTGGCCAGTGAAGGAGAGTGAAGGAGCCATGGATGAGGAGTGTAAAATAACCAAGGTGTTTCTACATAAAAGTCAAACGCAGAACTGCCCTTTAAATCGAAAAAAAGCAAGTATTGAGCCTTGCAAAAGTACTGAACACCCCTCAGAGTGATCATATGTTCCTGAATTACAAATAATACATGCACATATTCTTACTTTCAGTATTTGTATTGCAAACTTATAGCTTCTCGCCATAAATTCAAGTCAAATTCAACTATTTGTCAACCCTTGAACATGAGTATTTCTTAGAGCAATAGCAGATGTATTTTGGGGTAAGTATATCCCAGCTTTTTATATTGTTCAAGCCAGACTTGGTCTAGGTCCTTCGTTGGTCACTTTCTGCAATTTTCAAAAAAAGCCACAAATTCTCTATGGCAAATCTGATCATTGTAAGTGGGCTGAGCACTTTTGCAAGGCACTGTAGTTCAATATATCCAACATACATACATATATAGCACATTACCATTTGCCTTATGCTCTATGAGATAAATTCCCTAATAGTCACACCATCTGTGAATTTATTAAATTGCATTTAAATTATATGTGTGCAGTATGCAGTGTATAGTAAGGTTGGAACAGACCAAGAAACAAATAATCAGTCAAATTTTATTTAGTACAGCATAGCACAAATGGTTTCCCAGAAATTGTTAGTAATATTTGTGGTGAGAGTATATATATATATATATATATATATATATATATATATATATATATATATATA